CTGGATGAAATCCCCATTAATTGCTTTCAAAAATTGCCTGAAAAATTTTGGAAAAAATTGACCTGGATCGACCAGGACGATATTTTATAGTCCAGGCCGATATACCAGAACGATATCCAAAAATAAGATTTTCCAAAGTAGATATGGCGGTAGATTCTTCCTGAATTGAGCCGATCGTCCTGACCGATACAAAATCGTCCAAGATGATGTGTTTTGCATAAAGATGGCTGCTTTAATGAGGATGTCCTAATTAGGGTTTCTACTTTTGTCAAATCGTCCCGGACGATGTTACCAAAAATAGAAATCTTTTAGGGCACAACAGAAAATCTTTCAAGTTATAAATCGTCAGATGCCACATCAAATACAATAGACTCAAGAAAGGAAAAAGATTACAAACTTACACAGACCTAGTTTACCCAATCTTGAGCTGGTTCCAGATTGCAGTCTGATCGTGTGGACCTGAAACGTTAGCACATAAGGCAATCGTAGAGAAATAAGGAATGTTTGCTATCATCAAAATCATAAACCATATATCCGCAACATGATCAAGGTTCTTTGCCTGCTTTAGGAGGAAGCAAAAGGAGTTGGGTTCTCTGCTTGCTTCTGGAGGAAGCAAAAGGAGTTGGGTTCTCTACCTCATCTGGGTTGGTGGAAATGAGATTTGTAAAGGCTTCTCTGCCTTGCTGTGGGGGCAAAAGGAGAGACATTGAGTTTAGTGCAATACTTATTGAGTCTAGTGAATAGGTTGTTAAACCTAAGTTAATGTCCCAAAGCTACCAAGAGGGGGGGGGGTGAATTGGTATTTATAAATTTTCCCTCTTTTGATAAATTTAATAGAAATTAAACTTTAATGAATTTTTATAAAAAAGTTTTTCAACCATAATTTTTTAAAACACAAAATTAAATGCAGAAAATAAAAAGCAGTAAAATAAAAAGATACATGATTTATAGTGGTTCGATAACCAGACCTACATCCACTCCCCAGAGGCACCCTCTGAGTATTACACTAATACCAATAGTGTCTCTCCTTTTGCACCCATAATAGGTGGAGAAGCCTTTACAAACACTCTTTTCACCACTACCCGGTGCGGCAGAGAACCGTCGTCCTTTTACACTTTCCATAGTGTTGGCAAAGAACCGTCATCCTTTCACACTCTCCTACTGTGGGCAGAGAACCCTTCATCCTTTCACACTCTCCTAGTGTGGCCAGAGAACCCTGCATCCTTTCACACTCTCCTAGTGTTGGCAGAGAACTGGATCTCCTTGACAGATCTCTTCGCAAGAAATCTAGAAGGAAGAAAGAAAAAGAGTGAAGTAATCTCAAATCACAAATAGGAAATCTTACCTTTGAACACCATGCAAAGTCTTCACGCTCTAGTGGTAGAAATCCTTCTTTGAATGCTTTCTCTCACTCTCTCCTTTACTCTTCTTCCAATAGGCAAGAAGATCAATGAGCAAAAAGATTGGGTGGCAGTCTAATTTGAACTATATATACAAAAGACAAGAAAAACTGCCCAAAAACTGCAAATTTTTAATTCTATACGCAGTGGATCATCCCGTACGATCGTGGATCGTCCTGAACGATTTTACTTAAAGTGTCGGAAATGATCCTAATGTATATTGGTACAAACTATGTTCGTACACGCTCATCATCACGTACGAACTATGTTCATCCGGTATGAAACGGTTATTACATAAGTCGGTTCCCAAAATTCTACAGGACATAACCAACTGACGTAAGTCGGTTCAGTTCGTCCTGGGACGAACACGTTTGATCCTGGGACGATGTTATACAGAGAGTTTCGTCCAGGGATAAAAATTTATTTCATCCTGTACGATTTCATACAGAGAGCTCCGTCCAGGGATGAAAATTTATTTCGTCCTGTACGATTTCATACAGAGAGCTTCGTCCCGGTACGAACCATATTTTTCGTCTGGACGAACATTGCAAGGTGAGAATCCCGAGACGTTCATCCTGGGATGAATATTAAATTCGTCCTGGACGATTAGGACTTAGTTCTACCCGCCTGTTCGATCCATTGCTCTTCCGAGGGGTTAATTGACATGATCGTCCCGTACAAATCAGGTTCATCCCGTACGATCAGTTTATAAAAATTATCCCCCAAGAGTGTGTGTTATGATTTTTCACTCAATTACAATCACTCCCTCTCATTTAAAAACTTATAATTTATAAATGAATAATTTGAAGTCTTTATCGCTTGGAGTTGATTTTCCTGAAATGTTAGTACATACTAGAGCAAAAAACAAATCTTCCAAAAAGTGTTAGGAGATATATATGAAACAATAATATTTGAAATCATCAAAACAATTCAAGTTGCAAGAATGTAAAACATGCAAATAGCAACTCTCTCTACAATACTCGGAGGGCGCCTCCGAGGAGTGGACGTAGGTCATATTGATCGAACCACTATAATTTTTTTTGTTCTTTATTACTGCTTCCACATTTATTTTCTTCACTTTGATTTTTGTGGTGAATCTTGATTTTTATTTTAAGATTGTGTTTTGATCAAAAGATTTTTAAAATGCTAATTCACCCCCCTCTTGGTTAGCCTTTGGACTAGTTCATAAGGGCTTAACATCCCTGACAAACTTTTACCTTGCTTCTGAATTGTTGCGTTTGTTCAAGAAAAGCACTTATGGGAATTTAATGTATGCTAAGCTAGACATCAAAAGGGATTTTAACTCCATATCTAGAGCTTTTCTTATTATTGAGGATGGCTCAAAAAGGTTTTTCCCCTTTATTCATCAGTTGGGTCAAAGCTTGCATTTATAACGTGTTCTTCTATGTTTGTTTGGAGGGCAACTTGGAGGATTTTTTCTCTTCTACCACGGGTTTGATATAAGGCTGTCCCTTAAGCCCATACTTATTCTACATTGCTATGGATGCTTTCCCCTGCTTGCTGGATTCTTCTAATAATGGGAATGTTTTTAATGCTTCGGAATACAATGGTGTGAATGTATCTCATTTAATTTATGCTGATGATCTCCTTGTTTTTTGGGAAGCTTCTCTAAACAACTGCTCGGCTTTGAATTGGACTATTGACACTTTTGCCAAATCCTCTGGACTTTTGATTAATCATGGAAAAAGCTCTCTTATACTACATCCTTATACTCGCATTGCCCATGACATCTGTGCCTTTCTTAAAATTACTTACTTGAGGCTTCCTATATCCTTCAAGAGAGCTCATTTATCAAATTTCTCCCCTATTTTAGACATTATTTCTAATAGGCTTTCCATCTAGAAAGTAAAATTTCTTTCTTTTGCAGGTAGGCTTCAATTTCTCAAATTTACTATTTGGAATATTATTGCCTATTAGATTCGCGTTCTATTATACCCAAGACTTGTTGCAAACAACTCAACAAAATCTCTGCAAAATTTTTATATTTTGGTGATATTATGGCTAACAAAATGCACCTTATCTCTTGGTCTAATACTTGCAAGCCAAAAATTAAAGAGGGTTTGGGTCTGCGAGCTTTTTAGGCTCTTAGATTTGCTTTTGACTGTTCACTGATTGTTAGGATTTATAATTCCTCTTCCTTGCTCTATTCATGGCTTTTTACTAAATATTGCAGTCATTGGAAGGGTTTGTATCATACCTCCTCTCTAATGTGAAAAAGTATTACTGATACTGAACTTAAAGCTAAATACAATTTTTGCTTCAATGTCAAACATAATTACCCCATCTCTCTTAAATGGGATAACTTGTGTAAGGGGTCTTCTCTCATGGAGATCCCAAATCATGAATTTCTTTAAGACTCTTTTCCATCTATTGTCAGGCTCAATGTGCTGCTCAGTCTCACGGGTTGGATTTTGCCTGATGATTCTCATGAGGGCCTAAGCAATACTATCCGCTCTATCCCTATTTTTTATGAGGACGATACTTGTTGTTTGGAATGGAAAGCTGAAAATGGTTTTAGGTCTTTTAAATCCTATATCTTTGAATATTTTAAGCAGGATAATGAGGTCTCTTGGCATACCGCTGTGTAGCATAAGCACCATGCGCTTAGATGTTCTATTTTTGGATGGTTAAGTTTGGTTGGAGGGCTGAAAACTGCAGACATCCTGATCAGGAGAAATATTTTGGCTGAACCTCTTTGTTCTCTGTGTATAAACATGCATGAGAGTGACTCCCATCTTTATTTTGAATGCGATTTCTCTTTCTCTATCATATCCAGCTTGTTTCCTAGCCTAAGGGAACTCCTTAGGCCAAATCTATTTCAAATCGTTGACTTCATTGCTGAAGGGGGTAGAGATAATATTGCCAAGATGTTATTTTTAACTTTATGGCGTTCTGTTTATTATATTTGGCGGGAAATAAATGAAAGGAAGTTTTCTTCTATTGCCAAAAGTTCATTTACCTTGAAGGAGGTTATTAAAAAAGCTGTCATCATGAAGCTTTCAAGATGGAAGGATGGAGAATATTTCAAACATATGCTCTGTGGAGGGATTCACTTCCGGGTATAATGGAGGCTGTTTTTACACGTTAACTGCTGCTTGCTTTTGATGAAGCAGTATGGTTTTTCTATTCTGTTATGATGAATGTGAGGCTGCTACAATGCATTTTTCATATTTTTTTTATTTCCTACTGTTGATCTTGACTTTTTGGTTTCGAGATTGGTTTTTGGGGCAAGGATGATTGGATTGTTATCCCCTCCCCTAGATGGCGACTTTTTGCCACTTGATGCTTCTTGATGGCGATCTTCGCAAGTGGGGAATTGCTTGGTTGATGCAATTCTTATACTGAACCTATTGGTTAGCTGTAAATTTTTTGTCTTAGCTCTTTTAGTTGTTTGGTCATTTTGTCAAGTGTTTCTACAACACTTTTTTGGGTTTTGAGCTCTTTCTCTTCTTTGTTCTGCTGTTATCTCTCTTTACTTTACTTATAATTAGTTTTTATTATGGGATGGGCTTTGACTTTAATTTTCCAAAAAAAAAAAAAAAATAAATAAAATAAAAGAAATTCGAAGGGCTTTCAATCCACCAACTTCCTCGACACCTGCGCCTGCGCCAAATATAATGTTTCTAAAAGAAACCTTCTCTGGCAGATAACCCACCCGATGCTTTTTCTTCTCTGGTTTCGTTTGTTTAGGAGAACAACAAGGCTGACATTCAACTAATGGCTTCTGTTCTTCAGATTTCGTCGCATTTCTTAATAATCTTCCTTTCTTTTTCTAGTTCCTGTTCTTCTCGCAAGTAAGATTCAACCCCTACTCATTAATTCTTTTGGTTAAGTTGAAGGGTTTGAATTTGCGATATTATTTCTAAAGTAATGTTTGATATTCCTGCATATATGCGAAAATGCTTTCTTTTGTGTTTTATTGGTAATAAGGGAACTCATGGAAGAACGGCTCGTTGGGAAATTTGGGCCATACCTTGTAAAGCTAATTTCATCAGGAAATTTGGGCGTTTTTCCTTATCGGGCGTCTTAATATTTCTTAGATATGTAAATATAAATATCATGATTATGATGATGCATACGAATGCTGTGTTAGGAGTTTAGGCATGAGATTGCGTGTTCACCTCCGTTAATCTGATTTCTAAACCAAAAGAGAAGTGGATTTTTTTTTTTTTTTCGGTGCATGAGTTGATGAATCAATAAAAAGAAATTTAACCTTATTTTTCAACAAAGAAAGAACTTTGTTGATGTATCTGCTTGACTGGGCTTGCTGGGTTCTTATGTTATCAGTTCACAAAATGCCATAAGAAGTTGCTGGGCAATGTTTAATGCTTATCTTTACATCTGCAAGATTAGTTGTCCCTTTGTGAGTCAGCGGCAATCACCGGTATTGCTAGTAGTATCTTATGATTCTGACAAGATCTATCTGGCCATCTTGCCGTATAAGTGTAGTTTAGTTGTATGGACAAAGTTTGCATTCCTTGATTACGCAATATATTGAAGCAATGGATTTTCTTGACTTTTTAACTGTGAATTTCGATTTTGTTAGGATATGCAGTCCTGCTGAATGTGGTGATTTGGACTGTTAAAACTATGTTTAGTTCTAGTGAATTTACATTCTTGTTAAATTTAAAAAATAATCTCGAAGAGTGGTGTAAATAAATCTTCCTATGCTTAGGCTTCTAGCATATAAACAGCCCATACAAAGTTGATGGGAAATGTTTGATGCTTATCTTTACATTAGTTGTCCCTTGGAGTCAGCGCCAATCACCGGTATTGCTGGAAGTATCTTACAATTCTTACAAAATTTGTCTGGCTTCCATGCCGTAAATATGTGTAGTTCGGTTGTGTGGACAAAATTTGCATTCTTTGATTTCACAATATACTGAAGCATTATATTTTCTTGGTTTTTAACTGTTATTTTCGATTTTGTTGGGATATGCAGTCTTGGTAAGTTTGGTGATTTGGATCGCTAAACTATCTTTAGTTTTAATGAATTTACATTCTTTGTAAATGTTAAAAATATCTCGAAGTTTGGTGGAAGAAGATCTTCCTATGCTCAGTTTTCTGCATATAAACAGCCCATAGAAAACCCAAGTTTCAATAGGCTAACGCCTACCCGAAGTTTGTAACCTTGAGGAAGCCTTTTAAACTCAATTCCTGTGTTTGGAAGGCTTAGACTGCTTGAACTAGGGAGGAGTGATACCATCACCCATCTAGGTTTGGAGCTAAGAGTACAGTACCCTAAGAAGGGGTTCTTAAAGGGGATTTTTCAATTTAGCTGGATTTTTGGAATTCATAGTGTACTTGCAGTATCCTATGATGTATAGACTCAAATATGATGGGACACTTATAAGATATTTGTTTTAATAAACATAGGATATAGTCACTTATTAAAAACATGCATGTGTTAATGGATGCATCTCACGCTCTATCTCTAAAGAGAGAAATTTGTTTGATTAGGAGTTAGAATTTAGAGAGAAAAAAGAATTATAAAGAAAGTGAGACTGTGGAAATGACAATGGTTAATTGCAACAATTCTTTTTGATATCAGAGTGCTCTAATTTCAAATTGATACAATGTGAAAATGGTAGCCGGCAATTTGTAATAATTCTTCTTGATATCAAATTATTATATGTGATAATTTGGTGGAGGGATTTGAAGATGTAGAAAGGGGATGTGAAAGATCTAAATGAGATTAAATCCTATTTTTAGAAGTTAATAATCAAGAAAACTTCAAGCTTCTCTCCATTAGGGTAGAAGATATACTAGAATAATTAATTTGTAAAAAAGTAAGATGTGATGTGATCCAAATTTGAAAGATAAATATGAATGTTCCAGAGAATCAAGTTTAAATAAAGTAGAGTAAAAAGATAAGTAATGAATGTTGAGAGGTGATCAAGGATTATGGGATTAGGTTTTAAGGAATACAGAGGAATTGAGAATCAGGCCAATAAGAGATATAAAAAAAGTGGAGAGAGAAAGTGCCTTCAATGAGTGGCGAGAGAAATAAAAGAGAGAGGGGTTGATGGGAACATCAGATCATGGAAAGTATATCAGAGATGTGGCCGACGATCTATTTTTGAGTCATCACATGTATTTGTTTTATTTATTTTATTTATTTGCTTTATGTATTTGTTTTATGTATTTGTTTAGTTGTATTTCCCTTTTTACTCTTACTTAAGGGTTCGTCATGTGTAAAGCCCTAAGGGCTATGTCGTCTTTTATTATTCCGTTCATTGTATGATGTTATATATAGCCCCTTTTTGTTTGTTTTGAAGTTAATGAATGAATTATAAAAAATTTCTGTATATTGAGTTCTTGTGAGAGCTTGAGAGGTTTTGGAGAGGGAAGTGGATCACCCACCAACCTTGGAAGAGTCAGGGTTCGTGGCTAGTTTCATCTTATTTCTCTTTTCTTCATCCTCCCTCCCTTCCCCCTCCATCCCACGACCCATTCCAATCTCCCAAATCGCCGGCCACCCTAGCCCTCCACCACCAAACCGCCACTCCGTCCCACCACCACCACACCACCGGCCAATACCAACCCCTCCTTTTTTTCCTATAGCCGCCGGCCTAGCACCACCACCCAATCAACCAACCTTCTCCTAACCTAGCCGCCAACTCCTTACCCAAGATCCTAGCCTAACCGCCAGCCCTAGCCTTCCCTCTTGCTTTGAAATTCCAAAATGCCCATTAATACTTTCCATATTTCATCCAACCTCAATTGGAAAGCTTTGGGCCCCAATTATTCAATGAAATTTTGAATTTCAAAACATTCCAAATATAGGAATTTATTTTAGGAAAGTTTTCAAAATTCAGCCCCTTTTGATTTTCAAATTAAATGGGAATTAATTAAGTCCTTCCTAATTTAATATTCCAATTCAAGAAAGCTTGATTTATTTCCCTAAGCTCCTCCCTCTCTCTCTCTAAGCCGTCGGTCCCCCTTTCGGTCCCCACCTCTTGAATTACTTTCCAACTTAAAGCCCTCCCTCGTAGGGAAGAATTCAAAGCTTCCACCCTCTTCTACTCGCCCCTCTCTCTTACCATTTCCGCTTTTAATTCTTTCCAAATTTATGAATTAATTAGGAAGAATTCAAAGCTTCCCCCGCGCAGATCATGTCTATGTTTCGTACTGGGTTGCGAGAGGATCTTCGCAACGAACTGTTTGCCCGGAATGTCACCACACTTGAAAATGTCTATAGCTTAGTGTTAGACCTGGAGGAAACCTGTTCCCAACACCCTAGCCGACACCATGACTCTAGGCCTTCCTACAGACCTTCCGGTGGTTCCACTCCTCATACATCCACTGCCTGACCGACCCTAGGGAGAACTACCCGACTACCCTCTGGTCCTCCTACACCCCGACCTGATTTTAGGAGTAAGCCTCCCACTCCTGATACCCCTCTGTCCAATCCTGGGACCAAGTGCTTTCGATACCAGGGGTATGGGCATATCGCTTCTCAATGCCCCAGTCCCTACAGTCTTGATTATAGAGGAGATCACTGAGGAAGATTTTGAGCCCGAGGTCGATCAGATCCACCAAGTGGAAGATGAGGGTGATTTCTTCGAGGATGATGATGATACTATTGTCGTCCATTGCCTTTAAAAACTTGACACCTCTCCCATCTGTGTGGTGAGATGTGCGCTGTCACACCCTGCTACCATCGATGACTGGCGTAGGACTGCAATATTTCACACATACACCAAAATTAAGGATAAGAATTCTAAGGTCATAGTGGATAGTGGCAGCGGCTACGAGGGAGGTTCCTAGATTTTTGATAATGATGTCCATATCTATTGGCGTTCGAACACCTGCGTGTTCGTACATGCGGGCAAAAAGATCAAGCTTTTACCATCGCAGCCCTGGGCTAAGGATGACTCAAAATCCAATCCTATTAAATCTAAGAAAGGATTGAACCTCGTCACCGCCAAAGTTTTGGATTCTGAGATTGCTCAAGGCACACCCCTGTATGCCTTAGTCGGTCGTGAGACTTTCACTGAGTCTTATGAGCCAATCCCTCAAGAAGTCCAACCTATTCTTGGTCAGTTTGCTGATGTCTTCCTCGATGATCTTTCGGATCAGCTACCTCCACTTACCTTGCTAACCTGCCACACAATCACATGAATTCCATGGAACATGCTGAACTCAAGAAGTAGGTGGATGAGTTACTACAATGAGGCTTTATCAAAGAAAGCCTTAGTCCTTGCGCTGTACCAGCCCTTATTACTCCTAAAAAGGATGGATCATGGCAAATGTGTGTTGATAGCCGTGTTATCAATAAGATCACTGTCAAATATCATTTTCCTATCCCGAGGCTAGACAATATGCTTGATATGATGACGAGAGCCACTCTATTTTTCAAGATTGATCTCAAGAGTGGATACCACCAGATTCGGATTTGATCTGGTGATGAGTGGAAAACTGCCTTCAAAAGCAAGGATGGTCTCTATGAGTGGTTAGTCATGCCTTTCGAGTTGAGTAACGCCCCCAGTACTTTCATGAGAATCATGACTCAAGTGTTGCGCCCTTTTATGGGAAAGTTTGTCGTCATCTACTTCGACGACATCCTTATTGTCAGTCGGCCAGTCAGCACTTGGACCACTTAAGGCAAGTTTGCGAGGTCTTAAGGAAGGAACAACTTTATGTCAACCCCAAGAAATGTACCTTCCTCATAGATCGGGTTATCATTTTGGGCTTTATTATTTTAGCCCAAGGGGTCTCTGCAAACCCCGAGAAGGTGAGGGTGTAGAATGGTCGGTTTCTCAGAACATCCGGGAAGTCCACAGCTTCCACG